AAAAAAAAAAAAAAAAAAACAAAAAAAAAAAAAAAAACAAAAAAAACCTAGTGTGGAATGCTGTAAGAACTGAAAAGTGTCCATTTTCATTTTAGTGTATATGAAATGGTTTAGCAAGTCTAAGCAATTTTTTTCCATAGTGAAGGAGGATATAAGTAATGATGTCTTAAGATGAAGGAAAGAATGATTAACTTGTAAAGGAGTGAAGAGAGATAGTTTTCTCTGATTGTTTAGATTTTTCTTTACTGGTTTATATTTCTCCTACAGATACTCATAACTGCTGTGCCTGTTAAGCATTCAGGAATGAGGCCATGCTAGAACTTAGCATCATCTTTTCAAAGATATCACAGCTGACTTCAGAGCAATATTCCTTTTCTTTCCTCTGGATAAATGGGAAGGAAATGCTTAATTATTCACATGAGAAAAGAATGAAACCTTTGTTACTGAGAGCAGTGGCAGAAAGGTTTCCTTTGTAGGTCTGAGCCAGAAAGGTGTACTGAGGATGTCATTCAAATAGACCATAATCGTATTACAGTAAAAATGACATGGATTTATTGCTAATTTAATTTTTACTGTTGGTAGCCTTAAACATGATGAAATCTCTGCTAAAGATTTGTTGTAGCATCAGGAGCAGGAAAAACTGCAGCTATCACTCTGCTCCACGAGTAGGTACACATAGAGAAAACTTTGGTGGAGGTGGCTGCATTCTTCTGCAGTGGCTGTGACCATACTTGCAGTACCTGTATAACTAGAGAAGAGGGAAAGGAAGGCCACCTTCCTGCTGTAGTCTGTGTTCAAGAGGGTATGTCTGGACTGTGGAGCATCTGTTGCTGGGAATCTCGTTCTCTGTAATTAGTCTAAATTCGAAAGGAAATCTGAAGGTGATTCAGAATTGAAAGTGGACGTCTACTTTTCAGTGGCAAAGTGTAGTCCTGGTTTCTTTGGCTCAAAAGTACCACACTGATTTGTTTGGGTTTGGTTCCATCTGCATTAAACACAATTTTATGCAGAGTTTTTGGCTAGATTATTAGTTCCCAGCCTTTTTTTTTTTAGCAGGTTCTCATTACCTCTGCTTATTCCTCTTTTTCTCTATCTTTTTTCTGTTTCTGCCTTACTTGTGCCTTCTGTTTCTAGCTCTATTCATCATGGCTAGTTCTGGCAGCACAAGTTATAAATGTTAATGTGCTTGGCCAAGCTCATTAACGTTGTATTACTCATGTGACTCATTGCTGAGAGCTAGTAGAATGGATATTAGGTCTGAATTTTGATGTTAGGTTGTTGTGCAGAGTCTGAGCAATGTAGATTATATAAAGATTTGGTGGTTTCACTCACAGCATTTGTTTTTTGTTAATGAATGACAGACGTGGCCAGAGTGATTCTAAGCTGTTCTCTGAATTATGTTAACTCTTGTAGTACAGGATTGCTAAAAATATTCCTTTCTTTTCATTTTTCATCCCCCTCCTTTAGACCATTTCATGTGGAGCCTACAAACATAGTCAGCGCCAATGATGACATGCAAAGAGTCTCTGACGAAGCTTCAGCAATGAATAAGCGGATTCATTACTATAGCAGGCTCACATCTCCTTCAGACAAGGCATTGGTGAGACAAAGACAGGGCCAGATGAACTGAGTGTTGGGTCTTCCACAGCCTAGGTATATAAAAGGAGTACAAACAATGGTGGGGGGGAAACTAATTGTAGTTTGCTTTGAAGTAGATATCTAGTAGCTGAGTATCTTGACAAAGTTTCCTGTTATCACAAGTCAAGATCAAATTCTTCTGTCTTTACCATCTAAGAAAAGATACAGTTTTAATTTTGGAAGAGTGGTCCAGGCTGCCCAGATAGGTGTACTCATTGCTGCCCTTTATGACGAGGATTTAAGCACCAATCAGCTGTGGTGATTGAGCTATGTCTGTGTGATTGAGCTCTGTATGTCACCAGTCTTTTTCAGTAGAAAATCTGCCTTTCTACTGCTTAGTTAAGAATCCAGTGAACGTTTTTTAATGTTCTTAAAAAAAAAAAATCATGGCCCACCTATTTTTTCTTTTAAAGTGTGCTTTTCCTGGAAAGATTCTGTTTTACAGCAGTTGACTTGCTGTATTTGGGGTAATATTTATTTTGATGCTACTAATAATTATTCCTTTTTATTCTTTTGTTAGGTTGCTCCTGATCACGTACTTCCAGCTCCTGATGAAATCTATGTATATAGTCCGTTAGGAACTGCATTTAAAGTTGACAGTTGCACAGATGGCTATGGTAAAAACTCCAGTATAGTGACAATGTATGTTAAGCACCTTCTCATACAGTAGCCATAAAATGCGTTTTTTTAAATATTCTGTATTTTATCTAAGAAAGTAGTATGGAGTAAGAGTCTTTTTAAAATCATTCACTGACTTTTTATCTTTTCTTCCTAGATTTGTGATATGGAATACAATGATGGGCACGTCTATATTAAGTATCCCATGGGGAATAAAGCAGGTAAAAATATGAAAAACATATGGTTATGAAAATGTTTTTGGCAATATGGCTCGCTCTTCTTTTTTCTGTAGTGTTATTGATACTTACAGAGTTGTTTTTTTCCCTCTAAACAGGCAGGATTTACTTCTGGAATCATTCTCATCATACTGATGGGCATTCTGACACTTTATTGCTGTTACACAGTTGTGAAATCACGAAAAATGATACGTAAGCTTCATAATGCAAATATTTCCACAAAACTGTGAAATACAGAGTTCTAATAGTTTGTCGTATGCTGGAATATTTGTATACAAAAATACAAAAATACAAAATACACTGGGATATTTGTATATAAAAAATAAATTGTGTCTGAATATAAAGGAATGAGGTTCTTCTTGTCATTTAGCCATCTGAGAACTGCAGTTCTGCTGTCTCATATGCACAACTGAAGGCATTTATGTATTCTGCAGTCTGTGTTGGATACAGTTTATGCATGATTGCGTCATTGAGGGTGTATCTACTTTGAGTGTATTTTTATTGTTCAATACTCATAACTGTTGTTCTTTTACATATAAACTACCACCCTACTTGTTCAAATAAAAGGTAGTTAATATCTACTGCTCCAGCATGTAGCTCATTTCCAAGTATTGATGAGGACTGTTACTTCTGCAGAAAGACTCAGCTGCAAATGCAAGCATGCATTTTTTTGGCCCAAACCCTTAGTGCCTGTGCTTCTGAAAGTACTCAAAGTAGTAGTATTGCTGCATTTCTTCAAGGTAAAGCCTCTAATTCTTCAGGCTCCCCATGTAGAACAAGCAACATTAATGTCATAACCTATGTGAGGAAGAACAGCATTATGAATTTGTACTTAAAATTTAATAGCAATCTTCTTAGCTCTTTGAAACCCTCTGAATTTGTGTCAGAATTCAGAAAAAATCAACTTGTTCTTTTATGAAGAATTCTTGTGACCCTAATATAACATAACATTTTGTTTAGATTTCTAAATTTTTTTATTACTATGATTTGTTTATTTTTAATCTTCTTCAGCTTTAACAGATACCTCGAACTGGGAATTCCCAGATGTTTGCAAGTATTATTTTGGATCTTTCGGTCAGTGGTCAAGCCTGTTATTTTCTATGGTATCTCTTGTTGGAGCCATGGTTGTTTATTGGGTGCTTATGTCCAACTTTCTGTTCAACACAGGAAAGTTTATATACAGTAAGTATTAATCTTTGGTTAATTTAAACAGCTGTCTTGTTTAAAGATCAAAACTTTGGTTTATATTCAGAAAGGATTGTCCCTTGTGCTTAATCTTGATTTTGTTACTTTCTGTGAACAGTCGAGTGAGAATAAGTAAGTATGGATGTATAGGCATAGTCACTTACGTGTTTTCAAAGCCAGTTTCTCAATTTCTCAGTATGTGTTTCTAATAAATGACAAAGTGCCAGTTAACTGGCTTGCAAGTGAGTGCAGACTTCTTGGTCTAGTTTAAAAAATGTGTTTTCGTTGTTGGGCTTAAAAAAAATTCCACACTCAATCCTGACTTGTTTCTTTCCACTTTCTTTCTACCCCTCCTTGTTTGTGCTGATGTAACTATTCAGAATGATCCAGGTTAATGAAAAAGATCTCCACCTAAGAATCACAGAATCATAGAATTGTGCAGGTTGGAAAAGACCTTGAAGATCATCAAATCCAACCACAACCTAACCAAACTACTATAAAACCTAATACTAACAACCTTCTGCTAAATCGTGTCCCTAAGCACCACGTCCTAACAGATTTTAAACACATCCAGGGATGGTGACTCAACCACATCCCTGGGAAGCCTACTTAACAAACTTTTCTGTAAAAAAGTTTTCCTGTTACCCAACCTAAACCTCCCCTGGTGCAACTTGAGGCCACTTCTCTTCATCCTGTCACCTGTCATCAATGAAAAGAGACCAATCCCACACTCTCTGCAATCACCTTCCAGGTACTGGAAGGGAGCAGTAAGGTCTCCCTCAGCCTCCTTTTCCCCATACTAAACAGCCCCAGTTCCTTCAGTCCCTCCTCGTAGGGCATGTTCTCCAAGCCCTTCACAAGCCTTGCTGCCCTTCTTTGGACCTGCTCCAGCACCTCAGTGTCGTTTCTGTACTGAGGTGCCCAAAACTGAACACAATACATGAGCTGAGACCTCACCAATGCTGAGTACAGGGGCAGGATGACTTCCCTAGTCCTGCTCGCCTCACCATTTCTGATACAAGCCAGGATGCCATTGGCCTTCTTGGCCACATTTCTGGCTTACATTCAGCCAACTGTCCATCATTACACCAGGGTCCCTTTCTGTTAGGCAAAGTCCCGTTCTCTCAGGCAAAAAAAAAAAAAGTTTAATTCTAGGTTCCAGCAAATGAAGTGTATATATATGTATATAGCCATATAGACCATTTCTCCTAGCATCCTTAAAGGAATGATGAACAGTAGGACAGCGGGAGAACAATTTTTAGTCTGGCATTGCTACAGAAGAAAATCTTGGTTAGTTACATCCTTGTATGTGCGCAGACACAGAGGCTTTTGTGGATACAATCAATTAGGTATGTAGAGTTATGAGAATAAAAGATGGAATTGTGAGCTTTGAAAATCTGACTAAGAGTGTTGAATAGCACTACTGAGTTTTAAAGGCTTCTGTTTTGAATGTACTTAACAAATCTTTTTTGAAGCATATAACAGCAAAGATGCTTATGCCCCCTAAGCAAAGTTTAGAGTCTCACCATCCCTGAAGGACACACATTACTTTATTGAGTAACAAATGCATTATTTTATAATTCTTATGTTCTTAAGGTTACACTACATAGTTATTACAGAGTTTGTCTTTCTTTATAAGGTTAGCATTTTAATCCTTGCCAAAACATTCTGATTCTGTTAAGCAAATTTGAGAATCATCACAATAGGTCTTTTTCTAGGAAAAGCAATTCCTTTCTGTACGAGAGACAAGCTGCTCTTAATTGCTTTAAAAATCGGAACCCTTCTACCCTATTTGATTTTCTGTGTGCATAATACTTCCACATGCAGCAGAAGCAAATTTTAACCATAGGGATACTAATTAGATTTCCAGGCTGATGGGCTTTTTCTGCATGCATCAATATATATGTAAATATAAGGAGACAGCACTCTTTTACTGATAAAGTTTGAGAAACCTGAAAATTTTTACTTGCAGTAAAGTCGCATAGGAGTACAGTTGAGATAAAGTACTAAGAGAGATGACTGTAGATACTGAGACTTAGACATTTTTCCAGACTTGACATTATTTAAAGAACAACATGGAGGGGAAAAAGAAAAAAACAGAACATCCTTCAGGCTCTGAAGAACGGTTAGAAAAAATGAGTAGGGGAAGCTTTATCTATATAATATTGTATGGATTAAGATTATGGTTAAGAATAACTTTTTTTTTTTCTGTCACAAAATAAACTGATTTTTGAGATGTATCTCCTCAGTACTCTACTATGCAGTGCTGCAGTCAAGGAGCAGGGACTGGTGGACATGTGCTGGGGGAGTAGTAATGAGCAGCTGGAAGGGTATGCTTGGGTATTGCATAGATGGAGGGGACTGCTGAGAACAAAGTGGTGCAGTGGTCCTTGAAATACCCATCTGAGGTTGGTGGGAAGTGCCAATTGCATATTGCAGCTCTGATGTTATTCTTTCAAAATGTTTCCTTAACATTTTTGTTAACGGGTAAAAGCCTAATAGAAGAATCAGAACATTGCTAATACAATTTTTTTTTTTTTTCAGACTTTGTTCATGATATCAATGTAACAGATATTGTTCCAGGCACAAATGGAAGTAACAAAGGTAAGAAGCACTTACTATTTGGAGGGGAGGGAGTTTCAAGGCAGTTTTCATGCATGAATTTTAACCCTGTTACAGCTATAAAATGTATAAACAAAGTTCTAACTGTTTTTAGAAAGCTAATGTTTTCTATCTAGAGTTTCTGCTTCTACAGTTAACTACACTTGGAAAGATTTATAATTTAAAATGAAACAGCAGGGGGGAGAGGACAAGGCTTAAGAAATATATTACGAGTTAATGTATACCCAGCTAGGTACTCCTAAAAGCCATGAATGTTAGATCAGTTAACAGTTGTGTGATTGGGAGTTTCCTTAAGGAATTTTAACCTTTGCACCCTGAAACTGAGGCATAGGAAGTGTGTTTTCTGTTGAAAATTCTTGGCTGGGATGTTTTTGTTCCTTAATAACTCTGCAGGATTTATTTACTTATTTATTTATTTTAATGCTGTAAGCATTTTTTTTTAATTGCTGAACACAGAAAGAAATAGCATCTGGCTGCACGAGTGTTCACTTGTTTTCGCGGAGACTCTAATGTGCTCTAAGACAAGAATCTGCATTCAATTATGAAGATGGATTGAGAGTTTTCAGATAGGCAGAGTGTAACACACAGTGAAGGCAGGAGCTTGCACGTCATCAGCTTCAGGTCCTTCTGCCTTGATGTACTAAATAACTTGATGTGTAGCTCTATTTTATGAAGCTGAAAGTTTTCTTTATTCTAAGCTCTTCTGGGGATAGAGAAACACTTCAGAAACAGCTGTGTCATGCCAGCTGTAATAGTGTTGCTGGAGTGCAGCTATTTGGAGTCAGGTGAAGGAACTCAAATAATTCTGAAAACCAGTTGATTTGCATTGATTTAGTGCTGAACTCTGTTTCTCCTTAAGTCCTTATGAGCAAGGCACCAGAAGCTGCTGCTGTGTTTTTTCTCTTGTGAGCAAAACTTCTCTTGTTTCATCTTGCTTCTCTTGTTTCATCCCATTCTCTGGCAGCAGGAGATGCAACTTAAAGAAAAGTTAGAAAATCATATTCCTCTATTCCATAGCATTACTGGAAGATTCAATGCAGAATCAATACAGAACTAAGGGCTGCTGGATAATCAGATGTCTCTTGGCTGGATATCTGGGGGGGAGGGAGGAAGGAGATCACAAAAACCAAAAGCATTTTTCAAGGTCTGTGAAACAGTCCTGTTATAAGTAACGTAATGCAAGTAAGAATACTGGAATTAACATAATGGTCTCAAAAAACTTGATAGAACACTTTGTACACCTTTGCCTTTGTAACAAAATACTTATGAAGGCAGTGTGGGAGGCAGGCTATAAGATATTGTGGAATGCCAAGGTTGGAAAGGAGAAATCATGAGAACTGTAAGGCAGGTTCATATTTCAACACATAACTTTATAGACATGTTAGAAAGAAATGCCAATATTAACCGGAAGCAAATTGGTGTATTTTCACAATTGTCATATTTTCCACAGCATCTTTTATGTTTGGTTGGTTTTGTTCCAGTCACTTGTTAAGGTGCTGTTCAGGTGTTACCATGTAACAGGAATTTGACATTGTCTTTTCACAGAATTATGTGTATATTTCTCATGTTGCTTCTGTTGTCTGAAAGTGACTTACTTGCAACCTGACATTACATCAAGATGAGAGTATGTTTGCTTTTGTACATGAGTTTTAGACCCGCCCCTGGTAATCATAGCTTTCTTGTCAAGCTATTTGTGTGTTTCATTGTGTATCACATGCAACATGCAGTGATGCAGGTTCTTTTGTAGACAGATGTGCATGCATTTATTAATATGATGTTAAGAGTGCTGGACAGATCGCAATGCAAAGCATGAAGTGAAATGTAGAGGTGTGCTGCTCTGACTGAATTTGGGCAGATGTATGTAGGCACAGGACATGGCTGCAGGTAGGTAACCCTGGAGACTCTATGCCAAAACTCAGGCTACAAACAAGTGAGTGTTTCTGTTGTGCTCAGCTTATAGTACAAGGTGCACAGCAGGGAAACTGTAGCACTGAACTACTGATAACAAACAAGAAGATCTGCGTTGCTAAATGTTGCTTTTGGTTCTTCACCCTAGAGGTAAAGCACAATCCAGAAATTATGGGATCTTAGCAGTGAAAACTATGTGCAAGTGAAATTCTTTTCATCTGTGTATATTTTTATTTTCCTTTCCAGTCATTTGTCCAAATGCTGCTAGTGATCACCCACCACAGAACCAGAGTATGATATTCTCTTCTGGGAACAGTACAGGTTTTCAGCTCTTCGAGGAGTGGTGGAGCAAATCACAAACAGTACCATTTTACTTGATTGCTGTTCTTCTACCCCTGCTAAACCTGAAGTCTCCATCCTTCTTTGCAAAGTTTAATGTCCTAGGTAGGTAACGAGTACTACTAAAGCATTGACTTATTGTGTCTGAAATATATAGAAAGCACTGAAAGCTACTCTAGTAGTAGCTTGCCAGCAGCATACTACCTTGGGCAATTCATAGGTCAGTTTGTTAATCACGTACAGACTTTCCACCCTGTTTTGCTTGAGCCTTGTGGTGAGTAGGAAATGATTTTTTTCCCTTTGCTCCCTTGATAATCCTGTATAAATTCCACTGTATTTGCAACAAATTTTCCCAAACTGTGGTACACACTGCAGTGCGGTGTTTGATACGTACTACTTTGGCCCAACCAGTCAGATACACCCTTCCTTGTCTGGTAAGTATTTGAACAGGCAGTTATTTCCAAAGATAAGTACTTCAGACCTGAAGTAATTTGACACTAATCAGTTTATTAATTCACAGCAACGTCAGTCAGTCAGTCAGTCCTTGTAACCTGCTGCCATGCTTTGCTTCAGCTCAGCTTCTGGCCTTTCTGTACTACAAGGACAAAAATTGTCACTTCTCCTTGTTTTTGTGCATTGAGATAGAAGAACAAAGCAGTTGGGAATGGTAAAGTAAATAAAGTGCGTAAGTGATAGTGGGGGCAGATGTTGGAAGGCATTGCATTGAAGCCGATGCTGAAGAGAAGGGGAAAAAAACAAGTGGAAAATACAGAACTGTTTGAAAAAGATAAAGCTGTATTGTAAAGAAGATAATAGGCAGGGAATTGAAGACTTTATTTAGCCAGTGTGACAGTGAATTAGAGCTTGTAACTACTATTGCTGGATCTAATAAATGGAGATACAATATGGGAATTTGAGTAAGCGATAAGGCTTCTTTCTAAAAAGTCAGGTGTTTATATAGAATATCAAGTTTAGGGTTAAGAAAATATTTTTCAGGTGAGACATGCCATAAATATATCTGCTTTTAAAATAAGCAATCTATCATAGGCATCTGTTTTTCACTTGAGAACTAACCTGTGTATTAAAGCATGAATTTTCTCATAACTTCAATTGATTGTTATCTAATGCAGAAGGTTTTCAAAGCTGCTTTAGCTTCTGTAAATCTTCTGAGTTTTTCAGACAAGAATTGGAAGACTTGTCTGATTTTTCATGTACTAAAATGAATCTTGGTAGAAAACTCTTGCTTATCTTCATACTTACGGAAACCTAAATTGTGAGGAAATTATAGACAATTTTAGCTGTTAAGTGGATCCTAAAGAACAGAACCTTTTATCTTCTTAGTCTTTGACTGTATTTTTGTAATTTACCTTGTAGCCTTGGAAATAATACAATATTGTTGACCTGGAGGTTGCATCACAGTAGCCTTAATTACTGGTGCAAGGTTTCCTTCAATTTCTGAGTAGTTATTATCTGCCCTTCTTCTGCCCCTCTCTTTTAGGTTCTGAAGCCAAGTTTATACTCTCTCTGTCTCACAGGCAGACACAGCAAGGCATTTATACAAACTGTAATCTTATTCATAATCCCTTAGCAGTGCAGATTGTTGCTGGATGACTCTGGACCAATGAGGTGGAGTTCAAATCCTGTATTATGACCAAAGTTCTCCATGATCATGACAAATTTTAAAGTTATCAAGCATTGTTATCAAACTTTTATCTCTCAGTTTAAAGTTGACAACTGTAGTAAGCATTAATTCATCTCTCACTGGACTATGCAGTCAAGGGACTGAATGAATGGACATTGAGATAGCTGTGCTATCTTTGTCCAGCAATGTCTCACGTCCGATTAGAATCCTGACAGTTGAATCTAGAATCCATCGGTTATCGTCTAGAGCTCTTCTTACCTAACTAGCATGAGGGATTGCTGGTTCACTGTGACTAGTGCAGTATTTGCAGAACATTAGACATACTTAATGTGTGCATTCAGTGCAAGTGCATTGCTCTTTCTCTCACATATAAAAAAAGAAACTAAAAGAAAATTTGAAACTATTTTGTATTTTTAAGAATGAATACCACCTGTAAAAGTTTCGGCTACTGATAACTGGTTGGATGGAGCAAGGAAAAGCACAGCAAAAATACTTTCTATTGCCTCTTGGTATTTGTTTGGTCTTTTCTAGGTACGGTTTCAGTTATCTACTTAGTTCTTCTGGTTACTGTAAAGGCTGCTCACCTGGGAATTCACTTAGAATTCAACTGGTTTACAGGGAATGAATTTTTTGTACCAGGTAAGATAATTAAGAATGTAACGAAATGTATATGATGGGCTTAATTGCTTTCTAAAACAATTCTAAAATGTCGGTCTTGTTCACCTCTTAACATCTTTGTGTGGTAAGCAGAGTAAGGAAATGCTGTCTGAAGTTGCATCTAGAGGTTCAGGAACCTTCATTTTCCAACAGCTGTTAGCTTTCCGGTACCCTTTTTTCCTTCCTTGAATGTTGTTTTGCTTTCCCCCCACTCTCACAGTAACATTACAAATCACTCCGTGAGACGTTATGTTTGTATAAACAGTTCTACTGAATGAAAAGATAGTCTAAAGAGATCAGTTTCTTGGTTTAGGAGACCTCAAAAGAGAAATAAGGGCCAGATCTTAAACTGTTTTTCCCTACTCTTTACAGGAGTTGTGTCTTCTAATATTATTGTAAAGTCATGGAACGATTAGAGTTGGAAGGGCCTTTAAAGACCATCCAGTTCCAACTCAGAGGCAGTGTTGCCACCCAGATCAGGTCACCCTATATTGAATTAAATCACTTCCTATCATATATAGCATTACATTTGTAAGAAGTGGAGTACCCAGTGGTTAGACTATTTCAGTAACATTACTAATACTGTTAGAATATAGACAAAGCATGTAGGTGATGCATACAAATGCAGCTACAGCAGGTTGTTGTAGTGATGAGGAAAACAGTACTGAAAGAAATTCTGAATCTGATGGTTCAATTTTTATTATTGACATTAAAGTAGTGGATGGAAAACAAGGCCAAAACTTGCACTCTGAATCTATTGGTAACACATCGTGCTTGTTAGGTACTGAAAATACAATGAATCCAGCCTTACAGAAAGTATTTTCTGTCAAACTTGTTGAACCCTTTGTTATTTGCTTGAAGTATTTTTAACTGGCTCAACCTCATAGCACTTTAGAGAAAGCTGATTTAGATATTCTTGCATAAAGCTCTGTGTGATCTCTGAGGGTTTTTGAGCATCTGATGAGTGTTCTGCTGTATTGCTGGATGTTTTCCAGAAGCTGAGCGAGCTCTCACATATCAAATTTCTGTAACTCTCTCAAGTATATATTTATCCTTTTATAATATCAACAAAGATGGTGCTTTAATCATGTTACAGCATTGGTAAATTCTTAGATAAGTTGCAGCACTTCAAGGAAAAGTATTGTGGACATAATCAGAATTGCAAGGGTTGGAAGGGATCTCTAGAAATCACTGAGTCCAACCTCTGCTAAAGCTGTTTTCCTACAGTAGGTTGCACAGGTAGGCGTCCAGATGAATCTTGAGTATCTCCAAAGAAGGAGACTCCACAACCTCTCTGGGCGACCTGTTCCGGTGCTCCGTCACCCTCGCTGTAAAGTTCTTCCACCTCTTTGTGTGGAACTTTCTATGTTCTAGTTTTTGACTGTCTAGAATCCCTTGTCCTGTCACTATACAACACTGAAAAGAGTCTGGCCACATCCAACTACTTCCTACACTTTAGATATTTATGAACATTGATCAGATCCCCTCTCAGTTTTTTCTTCTCTGGGCTGAGCAGACCCTTCAAATATTCAGCATAACATAGTCCTTCTAGTATTCAAAGAAATAATACTCTGCTATTTCCATGGAGACTACAGATTTTAAAAAAGGCATCATTGATGCTATAAAGGGTTAGAGAAGGGGCTTGTACCCTGTTTTTGAAGTAGCATGTCTTTAACATCTGCATATGGCAGTTTTCTTTTAGGAGCATAACCAGCTTGCTAATCTTCATCATTTTTCAAAAACAAAGGAAGCTCTCAGAGCATATAATAGCTTTTCTCTCATTTCCATTTTTGGGGACCAGAACATTTACAGCTGCAGTGGAACCAATTCCTGCCTTAAAAAATGCTCTGCAGATAAACTGTTCGGAAGCAGGAAGGCTTGTATGTTTAAGTCCTAGATTAACCTGCTACACTTTAGTGGCTGGGGTCATGCAAGAAACTTTCTTGCATGCGTAATATAATAACCACCATCTTCATGCATTTTGTACTTCCTAATGAAATATTTGTGTTGGCAATGGTCAAGGACAGATTGTCCCTTTTCAACATGTCCATTCTTACTTTTGCGAATCTACCACACTATATGTTATCTGGATATTGACATTGTTTCATAGAAACAAGTTACTAACACTTTTTCTCCCCTCCTTTAGAATTTAGAGTTCTGTTCCCTCAGCTCACAGGGGTTCTAACGCTTGCCTTCTTCATTCACAATTGTGTCATCACTCTTCTTCAAAATAACAAGAATCAAGAAAACAACGTAAGTAATTCCACAAGGCTTTGCTGATTTTTAACTAGATAACCATGCAACAGTGATTTTTTGCAGTCTGTTTCTCTGGAAATTAATCCAGAGACTGTAACAGTTTGAGAATATGTAAATTGGTTTTGTGATCTGAGAAGAAACAAGTTATACATATTGGCTACCAAAGAGTAACAGAAGAATGACAAATTTATTCAAATGAAAGTCTTGAGGAACATCCCAGGCTTATGTGTGATTAAGTGGCCAAATTACACAGAAGAAGCAGAAAAACTGACAAGGTTGCTGTAGAAGAAGTCATGGATTTTAAAACAGAAAAGAGGAGAATCTCAAGCACGGAACTCATTCTAAAGGAGACCTGAACTATTGTTCTACACAGCTATAGCTCTATCCAGCTATATGTTGGGTTCTAGATAATGTCTCTTTCAAGAGTTGCTTGAGTGAATTTGTGAACTGAAGTTAAGGTTTGCAGAGAAACCTGACTCTCTTTAGGAAATCCTCAAAGCTGAAGTCTGGATTGGGAACTTCTGTGATATCTAGTCTTTGGGCTGGTCTTTAACCTTTGTTATTTACTACTCATCCACATGAAACTGCACTCTTTCTTCATGTCTTCTAGTCTTAAAAATTGAGTAAGGATGGTACAATGCTTCAGATACATTTATTTGATTTCTTTTTCTCACTTGCATTCTGGGATTCCTGTCTAGCTTCATTAAAATCTTGGCTGGAAATTTAACTACAGTAACATAAAAATACTTTAAAGTATTAGATGGGTCAAAAGCTAGTACATCTGATTTATTTACTCAGGTGAAGTGCAGGTTACATACCAGTGCATTGAGGTGACATGACTTTTTGCTTTGATAAATCTTCATAGATAGATTTTTTGTCCCTGTGAGCCAAGATAGTGATACCTCTCTGAAAAGGAGTCATGAATCCTCTAGGAAGGCTTTTTTTGTATTTTACAGGCATTTCTGAAAAGTTTAACAGCTAAAGAGTAGGTTAGCAATGCTCTGGAGAAAGAAAATAAGTAAATTATTCTCAATGAGTTGTAAAAAAATCTTACAGTACACAAGAGGGCAATATTATGTTTTTCTTAGCTGTGGATTTCACATTCTAAAGTGCTGTCATTTCTGCTGTCAGCTTTGTATGCAGGGAAGGTCTGCTGCCTCCTTGCTGCTTTAAGACTTTTCATGTGGCTTCACCTCTTGCATTTATATTGGAGGAAGCAGTTAGAGAAGTGGAGACAGTATCTGGAATATTCTCCAGCTTGCTCTTTCTGCGTCAAGGAGGAAGAAACTGCTGTCTGCTTTTGCATCAGTTTTCTGAACACCTTTCATAGGATTTAAGTTGGATTTTGAGGCATGCATCTCAGCAATAATCAGTCCTCAGCAATAATCTTGCACTGCAGAAGTGTGTTTAAATTGATCAGAAAGAGCACCTTTTCATGTAGTATTATAAAAGGAAGCCAAATATGTGTGTTTTTCTTCTAGGAGTTGCATTTAGCTAGGGATTTTTTTGCCTGTTTCTTTCTGTTTGTAACCCTATAAAAGCTTTTCACCTAGGTCTGCAAAGTGCTTTGTAAATGTTAATGACGTATTGACATTGCTAAAGAAGTGTTCTGTGATTATTTCACTGCGCTGCTTGACTAAGTTGAAAGTTTATGTGTGTATATGGATCTCAACCTCTGTGACTGGTCACAGGTAGAGAGTAACCTCTTCCTGTATTTGTATCAACAAGATACACTCTTATGTCAGTATCTCACAGGGATCAAATGGAGACTGCTGCTTAATGAATGGATTGAGCTATTAACATGTCACATCCATGAGCGTTCTGTGAAAAGGCACAGAACTTGACAACCTGCAAAAGTACAACTTGCTGAAACTAGCAGTAATAAGAACTACTTAGGAGAGGTGGAAAAAGAGTAAGAAAAACAATAGAGTGCCTTTTATGGAGTCAGAAATCCAAAACAATAGCAGCTTCCATTCTAGTCAGAGGCATATATCACTGTCCAAAGTTTAAAACACACATGGGAGGATGATTCCTCCAGCTGCTCTTCCCATACAGTGCTGTGGGTGTGACAGGAGCAGTGAACTGAAGTAAGTCAAGTGTCAGCAGCACAGCCTGGAGAAGCCCTGTGAGCATAGTTTTTCATCTGCAGATCTGCATTCAGTAATGCCGTGAGATAAATATCCCCTGCTCCTGTCTTCCAGTTTTTCCTTCTTGTGTCAATCAGTATATTTGTGCAACTACAGAGTGAACTGGTTTGGAAACTGCACATAAAATTAACAAACTCGAGAAAGATTATTTGTTGGGTTTCTTTGGTTTTGAATCTGTTACACTTCTGTGATCTGGTTCCTTAAGCAACTTTCTCAGCAAACTGGATGTTTGTACAAGCCCAGCACAAGAGCTACAGCTATGCTTAAGAGACATGCTCTGTGTGCAAGGGCTATCTCCTAACAATTGTTTGTGGACATTCCTAGGGAAAGACTGGGAACAGGAGAGTATTTTTTATTCAGATGGGGTCTCTAGAAGGCACAGAGCTGAGGGTTGTGTATGTTTTCTGCCTTACTGGAGAACTGTTTATTCCCCAAGAACAGAGTGAGCTTCCATTGATAATACTCTATCATCAGTTTCTCTTTCCAGCCAAGAGAGTGGTGAGGTGCTGGAACAGGCTGCCCAGAGAGGTTGTGGATGCCCCATCCCTGGAGGTGTTCAAGGACAGATTGGATGGGGCCCTGGGCAGCCTGGTCTAGTATTAAATGGGGAGGTTGGTGGCCCTGCCTGCAGCAGGGGCTTGGAGATTCATGATCCTTGAAGTCCTTTCTAACCCTGGCCATTCTGTGATTCTGTGATTCTGTGTGATTATGCACAGACTATGGATTTTAGTGAAGTACTTTTGTCATCCTCTTATAAGTTATCATTTGAACATGTAAAGTCTGTTTTTAAGCTATAGATCAGAGTCTAGTTAAGATATTACAGAAGTAGCATCTGCCTTTTGAGAAGTTACCAATCTGAAATGCATCAGTCAAAAGCTACTTTTTCTAATATAGTAATCATTAGTACACAGTGATACAGAATTCTCTATCTAAAAATTGACTAATTGCAAACTAGCTTTCAGTAAAATACTGAACAAAAATAAGTTGTTTTCCCCAAGGCCCGTTACAGGGAAAACAAGGCCTGAAAGTTGCTGGCTCTTTTCATCTTCCCAGAGGAAATATCTGGGGAGCCATAGAGCCTTCTATGCACTGCACTGCACCCAGCCTGTGCCTAGGTCTTCATCCATGGCTTGTAACATAATGTCTTGTACTATGAGAGCTCTCCCTAAGTTAGCTTTATCTGGTCTATCAAACTTATCCTTTTAGGAAGCCAATTTCTGTGTCTCTTCTGTGAACGCTGCTAGTCTTAGTCCATTTTTCTGTAAGTGCAGAGACACTTTTAATGCATCATTCTGAATATCTTGACCAGAAAAACTACTGGTCAGCAATAGCAGTAGCTGAAGTATTGCCCAATTTCCACTTCTGCAGCTGCTTGTTATTAAAGGTGTACTCAGGAAGGGCTTGGCAGGTGGCAAGGTGTCAGTCCTTATGGACTGTGACCTGCCTGTTATCTGTGATACTTCCCTTCCTTTCTGATCCCCCATATACTTCTTTCTTTCAACCATATGTTTTACATTTCATTTTTAGATTGTAAACTCTGGATGCAAGGACCACTGTATTCCTGTTTAGGCAGCTTCCACCTGAGTGGGAAAAGGGCTATCAAGATCTTTATATTAAATTTAAAATAGACAAATGCGATTATTGCTCTGTTATTTAAAAGTAATCCTTTTATCTGTACCCATGTGTCCTTTAGTTTTATCTGTAATTATGCTGTCTAAACAGTATTTATAATCAAGGTCTTTAGAGAGTGAACTGAGGTATCCTATATAGTAATCAAAAGGTGTTCCTGTCACATACACACACATTTGCACAAAGATAGCCCTTTTTCTTTCTGAGAAGCAGATATTTGCAATGCAGTTGATGTATATGAGGAAAGATAAAATTTGGTTTTTGATTGCCACTATTACTTCTTTTTGCTAACAGAAATAAAAATCTCAAAATCTGAATACTGTTTGTGTTGTAATGGCAACTGGAGTCAAGGCTGTATTGTGTCATGCACTTTTATAATTTTTAAAATTATAAAAATTATCACAGCATTTAGTTTTAGTTTAGGCAAGCACTCTTTAGAAACTCTAGGAGCATGGTCTAGTTAATCACAGGTAATAGCACGCCTGCTAGTGACACTTAATCAAATGTAGTCCAAAGGAATGAATTTGCATGGGTTTGTTTTCAGATCACATGCCCCTACAACTGCAAGTACTTGTACAGCAAAAATAATTTGACATTTGTTCACAGAGCTTGTATATAAGCCAAATACAAATAGCAACTGATAGTTACTGTGCTATCTTTGTGCATGGGGAATACATTTAAAATAGCAAATTTGAAGCAATTTTAAACAAATTCTGTCAGATAATGTGCCACGGTATATTTTGAAAAATTGTCCAAGTACTATCTTCAAGAAGTGAGAGTCCATATCTGTCTGCAAAACCACCTGACTCCGAACGTGTCTGATTCCTGCAGTTAATGAAAGTTACTCAGTAAGAAATTAAGATGATTATATTTAGTATTTAAAAAGGGCTTCTTATGATCGGCACTGGTGCTGTTGAAGATGTAGTTGGGATCTGAAAGCCTGTACACTTTCCTCCATCAGCATGAAGAGAAATTCTTGGAATAATTTAAATACAATTGTATTTCTCAACCTCTGCTGAAGCTTGTAGTCCTTTCTCAGCAACAAGCATGAGGACAGTAGAGGCTACAGAAACATCTTCCAGCTGTGTATGTCTGAGCAGGAGCAGAAAGAGGTTGCAGCTGTTGAGGGGGCAAGGACTGTTATGTATACCATGGGGTTTGCATTAGCAGCACTGTGTTGCCTGATAAGAAGGATTATTGGCTTCTTCTGAACTGATGATAAAAAAAGAGCATTGATCTGGCAAAATGAGCATGAGAGCTGGTTTTCTTCTGAACTTTTCTTGAAACTTGTAATCCACCATGTGCGTATTTTTACTGGACACTGCCTGCCTTCAGAAGATGCCACAAAGGTGTAAGATGCACTTCTTTTGTTAAGGAAGTAGTGTGAAGAAACTCTTGGAGAAGCGTTTTCCTATGCTCTGTGAACTGGTTGGGTGCTGTAGAATCCTGGTCTGCAAGCCACATGGCTCTAATAACTTGGTGCTGTACCTGAGTTAATAAGATTTGCTTCTCAGTCATAGGAAGATAGGGCCATAGGAAAATAGGCCATATTTTGAGCCATTAGTGATAATCCTCTAAGAAGCTGATTATTAGCAGCAGCTGAACAAATGGTTTGCTATAAGGTATGACAGTCTCGTAGCACAGCATATGGTTATACAGAATATAATTCATTAATTAGTAAAAAAAATAAAGATGTCTTTATTTCTAAAAAAAAAAAAGGAGTTGATGAAGACAAAACTCTAGGTACACTGCTATTAAGTCACTGTACTGTGTCTGTGAATTCTGCAGTTTCATAAAGTACTCGAGAAGATTTGCTGCTTGTGTGCCAGTACTATATGTTGCTAACAGACTTTGAATACATGATATGTGTCTGATTAGGTAAACCAGAAATACTGTCAAAGTGGATTTATCTCCTTAGCTTTAGCACTGTCTTCTGAAATTCTTCGACTATTACTTAGTGCACTTATCTGGAGCATTTATAGAAATTCAGTAGTAGAGCAGATACACAAATTTAAAGAAAATAGGCATTATATCATATAATAAAAAACTAAAGAACATATATACCTCTGTGCATACAAGAGCTTTTGCTTTATTGTGATTGTACTTGTATTTTTAATTAATTAATTTAATTAATTGCAAATCAGCTGTTTCTTCCATTATCACAGTATTCATACGGATATCTGATGCATTGGTTTCTGTTTTGGAGTGTGTTATCCTCCATTATATCTGCAGCTGGGTATGCCAATATCTTTAATCGTAGAATTTTAATCCCAATTAAGGCATTTATGGGTTTCGTCTTTAACAACCATCTCTGCGCCCAAGGCTCTGATAGCAACAGGTGTATGTAAGAAAGGAGAGCTTTCTTTCAGTTTGTATGTTTTGACAACTCATGGTATGTATACCCAGCAAAAGCAGACTGCTTATATTGGGATATCTTTTTCTTGTATACCTTGCGTATCTAGATAAATGTGTAATACTTGTCTCCAGTTTGAATTATCTTGCACTTTCTGGTCTGATCTAATTTGAAGTCTCCATTCAAGTAATAGTAAGTGATAGTAAAAATAGTAAAAAATGTAAAATAATAATAAAATATAAAATATAAAAGCAACAATAGCAAATACAATAGAAATCTTCTACTGAGCTTTTTCTTTTGTCTGTTTTGGTGTGTCAGTGCTGGCCAAAATAAGGTTTTATTTTTCCTTAGGTGAGAGACCTCTCCATTGCTTACTTCCTGGTGGGATTAACATATCTGTATGTTGGAGTAATAATTTTTGCATCTTTTCCTTCTCCACCACTATCCAAAGAATGTATTGAACAGGTAAGATGTTTTACTGCACTACATAGTCATCTTTGACCTTTAATCAAGTTATTAAAAGAAACTGCTTCTGCTGCTTGCTTCATAATTCATCCTGGCAGACACATCTGTTCTTCACTCTGGTCAGTTGGCTGATGCTTCATGGGCACTACCACAAGCAGATGAGTAATGCTTTTGTTATCTCATTAGCATTCATGTCTGGTTGCCAGTAGTTGTCTAAAAACAAACATTAAATAAATCTGTGAAAGTGAAGACCAAAAGGAGCAATGCAGACTTGAATTTTTTGTTTATTTATTTCTGAAAAGTATCATGTTTGCATTTAATTGTGTGTGCAGTGACAAATCCTGCTCACTTGGGCTGGTTTCAAGTACTCTAAAAAAAAAGATAACAACCACCCCAAAACATGAAAGGAAATGCAAGTGCATTCACGCCAGTCCTTGCTATGGATAGATTTGCAGTATAGCACTGTGCTAGGCCTTGCCAACAGAGTTTTTCAGATAACACATAGCACTGCTGTAAAGGCTATTAAACTCTGCCTACAGGCAAGGCTGATTCTCACACCCTTGACTAGTTCAAAGATAGGAATTGTGAGCTGGCGATGTATTTTATGCAAAGTGATTCACATTGCCTGCATAGTAGGTAGCAATGAAGCAGATTTTAAAGGCTTCCTCTGACTGCAGGTTAGTTAGAATTGGCACTACTGCTTAACCAGGAAATGATACTTTTAAAATCATCTGTAGTAACTTAATGGGATAAAATCCATAGTTAATAGATGACAACAGTTTTTATTATAGTTTATTTTCTGTAGACACACCCTAAAGACCCTTACGTATTTCCATGTAATCTAAGTCTTATATATTCTGGTTTTCGGGTGTTTGCAATGTTTTTTGTTTATGATAATGATCCAGTTTTACTGAATAAATACTTTTTTTCACTCCTTAGATATGATATGACAGGTAATAAGGGCACATGAATTCATTTGTCTGAGAAGTCAGGGTAGCTGCTCTGTAGGCTTGGCTCTTCTTGAATACTGAGAGTAGAAAATATTTTTTAACATTGAAACTGATGTCATCTCTTTAGTATTAAAAAAATAGGACGTATTTGGTTACATAACAGTTTCAAAGGGGAGAAAAAGTATTTCGTGTTATGGGTTTGATCTAGCATTTAGATTTGCTTGGCTTTTAGCATCTTCTTTCTTGAACACAGGTATTAAAAGTCAGCACATAAATGTAATTGAGACATCACTGGTAAATGTAATGTTATCCCTCTGTTTAGAATTTTCTAGATAACTTTCCCAGCAACGACATCATGTCTTTTATTGCAAGAATATTTCTGCTGTTCCAGATGATTACTGTATACCCACTGTTGGGCTATCTGGCACGGGTCCAGTTATTAAGACAGGTTTTTGGAAACGCTTACCCAAGGTAAGAAGACTGTCCTTTGACAAGAGCTTGGCACACTGTGCTTAACTAGCCTCTTGTGTATAGTCAGAAAGTTGGCTGGGCTTTCAGAGTTTCCTTTGGTGCATTAGTACATTTCAAAAGCTAATTCAAAATGTTTGCAGAGGCAAAGGTTGAATAGGCATGCAGAGGAAATTCTAGCCTGCAGACCAGGACTGCTATGGCTTGGCAGAGCAGAATGGGAGGGAGCTGTGTCTTTTGTTTTAGCTCTTCGTTTTGTCATTTTTAACACAGTTCTTTTGTCTTGAATTTGCACAGCAAAAAAGGTAGTTGTGCAGAAAAAAAAAGTTTTCAGTTCAGAAAAATTTTGCCAGATGGTCTTTAAGTTTTGAAGGCATGTACTCTGCGTATTAACCTTTCAGGGTTGAGTGTGCATAGCTAGTAACCGTCTATCTGTTTTTAAACAGAGCTGATAGCTAACTGAGTTGTTACTTATGTTATCTTGACTGCTGTTATGCTTATAAAAATAGCTTTTCAGATGCTAATTTCAGAGATGAGCCACACCCTTGCATTTGTACCTTGCCTGAACACCAGGGAAGAGCTGACCCAGAACTCAATTTCGGTTTTGTTTGTTGTTATTTTGTTGTTGCTGTTGTTTTAAATAAAACCTAGGACATTTATATTTGGAATATCATCTGAATTTGTCACAGCTGAGAAGTTGGTATTTATCTCTGAGTTGTTATTTTGTGCTGTGAATTACTGTTGATGGAGGGAAGGAAAAAATATCACAGGAAGCCATGTGTATTTCCTCTGTGGCATCAGCAGTAGCATACAGGTCTGGGAAGACATTGTTAAAAGTTTCAGGTTTCTTCTGGGTCCTAAAATAGTTATGGAAAGGTCTAGAAACTGGATGTCTAAATTAGGACATGAAATAAATGCCTGTTTTTTTTGTTGCTAAATTGTACTCAGTTCAAAGTAGAGGAGATTTTTAGGAACTCTGCAAGCTACTATTGGAAACAAGGCCATTGATTTAAGTGCTAAACATGGATTTCACAGCCTTGGGAAATAACCGTGTTCTTAGTATTACGTAAATCTGCCTCTTCCCATCTCTTCTCCCAAGTCACTCCCTGAATGGTTCTCATTTCCCTTCTGGCCTCTCCTAAAAGTGTCTGCTCATGTTAGCTCAAGCTTGCTGTTTTTAAGCTTTTGTGGTATGACGAATGGGATACTGCACATTCTTTGTACTTGTCTCTGGGATGTCCTGTGGGTAGCTTCAGTCTCTCCCTACTTACAGGGGGAGGTATTTAACATTTCTGAGAAGTCAGAAATCGTTTCTAGAAAGCCACTTGTTCTCTTGTTCACCTGTGGAGGCAATTCTGTACATAGTATATTCTGACTATATGTGTTTCTCTTTGGTACCCCAGGTATCTCACATGTTGCTCAAATGTCTCTCAATTGATATCTAGGCTCCAGGTTCTGTATGTTTATAGCTTTGTTTTCCTGTGCAGTGGAGACTAACTGAAGAATGGTAGTGAGCATGAGACCTCTTTCTAGGATTATAGTAGAAGACCCATGGTCTGCTTGTGAAATACCTCGTGAGGACTGATTTTCACCAGCAACCTAAGCTGATCTTTTAGTAGCACTGTTCTCTTATTGCCTTTCTAGGGAAGAATTTCAGTTTTCTGGGTTTTTTGACCACCAACTACTCTGGAAAAATTAGAACTGTGATCCTGATGTTGTGAGAGCCTGTGAATACAATGCTCTTCCTATCATCATTTGATCAACGAAAAATGTGTTAATTACAGAGCTGTTTGGGCCTTCAATCATAGAATCACCAAGGTTGAAAAAAAAACTTCCAAAATTATCCTGTCCAGCCATCCACCTAATACTAATATTTCCCCACTAAGCTATACCCCTCAGTACAACATCTAAATGCTCCTTGAACACCTCCAGGGATGGTGACTCCACCACTTCCCTGGACAGCCTATTCCAGTGCCTCTCCACTCTTCTGGAGAAGAAATTTTTCTGTTTTAGCTAGAATTCCATGTTACTGCTTCCAGAAGGACTTGGTAGATATTTTCATACTCCTGTGATCTCCTTACTGTTCTGTTATGCTGAGAGAACTGTGTTTTAAAAGCAGTATGGGAAAGATGATTTATGGAGACACATTTTGAAAAGATAGAGATGGTAGCTCTTACTGATGTTAACCTGATGTCTCACTGTAAATCCTGTTGATTCACCCTGAAGAATTCAGCTGGAAATACTAAGTTGTTTGCTTCTCCATAGGAAAATGATAAATTATATGTACTTGGCTCTTACCAAAATTTTAAATGTCAATGGCTAACAGTTTCCAGGCAAAAAAGGAAGACTAATCTGTCTTCTGAAATACAGACTTTAACTCTTAGGTGTGTATCTAGGGTGTGTGTATGGAGAGGAATATTCACTTGACTGTGAAAATTTATTTGTAACTAAGGAATCAGAAGGATGAGGCAAAAGAAAAAGCAGGTGGGGTTCTGCACCATTTGTCTAGAGGGATTACAAATTCATTAATTTAATTAATTACAAATTAAAACCACAAAAATCTTGGGGTTTTGAGTCTGATTCTGTTTGTTTACGATTTTTTCCTACCTTTTCTGATTTATTTTCAGGCTGTGTAACTAGAGTTTAGGTTTGTTCCTTGATGGTATATCCATCCACATGCATATAGAACACATCTATCAGTGTGCCAAATTCATATTGGTGGTACATTTGAAGATCTGTGTCGGCCACCTAGCCTCTTCTTACCTTCGCTGTGATTCAATATGCCTAATTAGATGTATTTCCATAGTTACATCCTTCCTATATTAAATTTCCTTTGCAGCTGACAGAACGTAATAAATTTACATTGTCTATAATTATCCTGTTTGTCTCAAAAAAAACATTTTTTAGTCAGAAGAGATCATTGAGTCAAGCCCCTCTGCTAAAGCAGATTCCCTATAGTAGGTCGCACAGTTAGGTGTCCTCCAACAGTAAGCCTGTGGTGCTGGTTTCTGAGAGCCCAACTGGGTCTAAATTCTGCCTTTTAAAAAAGAGTCATCCTTATCTTTGGAGAGCTGAAATACATACTGACTCTAAATTAGCGGATTCTCCTTGTCTACCAGTTTCAGACACCTGTGCCACTGTCTGTCTTAAACACATATGTAGACATGCTGGACACAGTGGTCTTATGACAGGCACCATCACAAAGCCTGGAGCCTTCCTGTGCTTCCCACAAAAGACTTAATGATAACGGAACGCATCCTAGTTTCATCTTCTATTGAGCAAAGAGTACATTAGTGTAAAGACCACAACACATAAATGGACATACGGGAACAAAATCCAAGATCTTTCTTCTCTCTCATGTGTTGTAAAAGAAGGCCAAAATGCTGTGTTTTGGGAAATTACTTTCTTTTCTAAAGCAAGACATATTTGCAATGGCATGGTTTAATGAGTGACTTATGGCCATAGGCATGTGGTTTATCTGCTGCCTCTGGTGTGATTCTGGATCTTCTTGCATGTATAGAAAAGTAATCTTTTCTAGTGTTACTGTTGGCTTGTAGCTACAGTGATAGTTGTGACAGAGAATTCCCTTAATTAATTATATGCCGTGCATAAAATACTTTGTACAGTCATCGTTTTTTAGAATTTCTTCTTAAAATCTTCCTTGCTCTGAGACGTTAAATAAACCGATGGACAGAAATCCCTTGGCTTTCCTAAAAGATGTCCTCCCCTTACTCCATGGCAGCCCAGCAGACCTGCCAGTTCTCCTACAGCTGTGTCTTCTGATGCAGTGAAGTACATTTCTGCTCTTTGCATGTACGTTTCTGCTTTGCATCTGAAGTGCAGTGATTCAGAGTCTTTTGACTGGTGTCACTTGGGCGAGACTTCTGGGAAGAAAATTCAGTTTTAGATTCAGTGACTTTTCAAAAATCTTTACTTATATTGTTTTGATTTCCTTACTATTCAAATGTGTATGTTCATGTTGTGATTCCACACTGATTGCAGCACTTCTAATTTCTTTGCTTCTGACCTGTCAGGACTTTTAACCAGTTTCTTCTTTAGTTTATTCCCTGCCCCGGGGTTTGTCTTCACTCTTGTTGGTGTGATTCTTAGTTTAAGGATGCTGAAGTTAGCGAAATAATATGGCCATTATTCACAAGGTTAACTGCAACCACCACTTCTCCAGGGGAAGACTGGATGCAGCGTGTCTACTGAATGCTTTTTTCCCTATGGATCTAAAAAAGCCAGAAATGATGTGGTTATGCTGCCAAAAATTACTTCTTTTCTGACCACCTTGCGCAACATGTGGTGACCATTAAGTGTACAGCAAGCTACTGGTGAACCAAGCTGCATCGTGAAAACATAATGCCTATGGGGAGTGCTTGTCCTGGCAGGTGTGCACCTGCATAAAACTTGGAATCTTATTTATAAAAATGCACTGTCTGAAATAATGCAGTTGCTGGTAGCTGTAGATGTCAGATCTTTGTTCAGAAGGATTGTTTTCAAAATGTCAGTGTTTTTCTCAGGATTTAAGAATGTTAGTTCCTCCTTTCTGAAAAGTGAGATAACCTGTGAGCATCTGAACAGTTAGAAGAACCCGAACGCACAGGTGTGGAGGAGCTGTTTTGTTGCAGTTTAAATACACAGTCCGTTTTATTGGTGAACTGGAAGCACAGTCTAATTTGAGCTGTTATTGAAATAGTAGGAGGTGCAGAAATGTTCCAAGGAGAAATAGTGTCACCTTTTTCTTTGAAGTGAATGGATTAAAATCCTTTTCAGGCTTTTTGTTACTTGTCTTGAGATTGCTGCTTAATTGTGACAACAGAAACTGGAAAACAGTTCTCTGCAAGCACTGCCTTGCTTTGGAGCATTTTCAGACAATTGCTTTCACTTGAGTAAAAACACATCCTTCTTTGTCCTGATGTTTTTTCCCAGATGAAGAACTGGAATCATACTTCATTTCACAGCACACATGCGCGCACACACATCTGCACGCACATAAGTTTGCCTTTGAAGTTGTAAAAAGCTTGAATTAATTTTTAAAAAAGCAACAACTCTGAACTACAAAATCATTTCTGTTGTAAAGCATGTCAAAATGAAATATTCCCAACTTTTTTCAGTTTTTCTGCAAAAATATTCTGTACCAACCTAAATTTGGAAAACATGTCCTAGTTGTGTGGCCTGCACTCTGTTTAATCTTACCTGCTGAAAGTTTGTCTCAGCAAAAAAAAGGAAGGAAAGAATTGCCACCATTTTCTGTGTTCATAAATTTTGTCTTCATTTGTGTTATCTCATGGTGAGATTTGCAAACTGCCATGTGTGTGAGAGAAAATGTTAACAAAAAGTTTCATGAGCTGTACAATTAATTAGATTTTTTTAAGGAAGTATTAGAGAAACAGTAGATGTTTGGCCCATCTTTTATTCATCGTCTGGTTCTTGGGGAATGATCCTTGAGGTTTTACCAGCTTTATATGGGACGATGTTTCTCTCAGCTGCTGTGTTCCCACTGCTGTCTTCAGTCTCTGCAGTGTACCTCTCATGCACCACTGTTAAGAGTGCCGAGCCCAGAGTGAAGGATGTTATTTCTGTCTAGTTTTAGATCATTTTTGATGGGCAAATCTTAGATATAGTGTGTATCTTCAATTATGTCTTTGTGCGTGAATTGCCACAGTTCCCCTACACTCAAATGAGTCCCCTCTACTGCTTCAACCTTTCTTCCAAACCTGGAAGCCAGCAGCCAGCCTTTCAGCCATGAGAGTGGTGACTTTTACTGTTTCAGCTGTAGCCCACTTGAAAAGATTGTTCATTAGTGACCTTCTATGTAGCACAGATACATTCTACGTTTAAAACAATCAGCATCAGCTTATGGTTTTGATTATTTTAAGAAATCAAAGCATTCTGAACCAATGAAAACTGAATCTATGGTTCCTGTGTGCAAATTCTTCTTTCCCTTCATAGAAACAGCTGTGTGACCAAAATATCCCAGTGTTTTTTCTTATATTTCCTGACTTTACTGAAATATGCCAACATTTTATATTCTCTGAAGAAAAGTGATATTCTCCCAAGTGTTAGCTGTGTGCATAATGTCTGCACTAAGTTAGTCTCAGGCATTAAAAGCTGCTTGTGGAGAACAGGAAGCCTCCAGTTTTTTCATCCTTACTGCAAACAGGAAAGCAACAGGAAATTATTTGTAGAACCAAAATCAATTTTAAAAAATCTAGTATAAGCAGTATGCATGCCCGATATTAAATTAGGTCCAACATCTCAAACGTTTGTTTTGCGTCAAAATATATTAGAGGTCAACTATTAAGCTTGTTTGCTTGTTTTTTTTTCCGTAGTATTTTGTGTAATGTTTTTCTTTCAGTGATGTATCTCTCTTGGTTTCCGTAGCTCACACTCGCATAGCAGTCCAGATCATTCTCTGAGCAAGCTAATTCTTTCTTGTGGATTTCTTCAGTATTTGAATATCTATCTGAAATACTTGAAAGCTGAGTACCATGTCTGATGCTTTCAGAAGAATTGCCAGATTATACATACTTACTCCTTAAGAATATTTGAAGTCAAAACACTAGATATTTATAGTTTGGTGTTCAGAATTTTCAATAAATATTATATTTCCTGTGAAATTAATCAGCTTTAATAGCATGAGTCATGCTTGAATTGAAATATTATCCATGTACCAATTAAATATTAGTTTAAATTAAAATTAATGGTGTTTTGTAATAAATACAGTGTAGATTTTAATACCTTTTTTCTCACTTTTCTGTAGTGTTTTCCATGTGCTTGCTCTGAACGTAGCAATTGTAGGAGCTGGAGTAGCAATGGCAAGATTTTATCCAAATATTGGAGGTATCATAAGGTAAGCATTGCTTTGCACATTAAACTTACCTACGGTGTTAATGTGTTTATGTCTCAATTTTGTAAAAGAACAATAAGAGGGTAAGGAATTGTAACTTTATATTTTGTTCACCTAGACTTCTGTAAGTTGTGCAGAGCAAATTTAGAAGTATAAGCAATCTGCTTCTGCTCTTTAAAAGTTCTGACAAGCAACTATCCATAATAGTACTTTTGCATCTGTGGTGACTGAGATGATTCCCCAAGATTCACTAGAGCTATACCTGGTCACCATGTAACTGTCCACATCAAAGAATATTATGTCAGCATAAAAGTTCCTTGCTTATTGTCTGATTTCTCTCATTTTTGTGTTAAGACTGTTTGAAGCTAATTTGAAAGTCTATGATAAAAATGCAATAGTGCAGGTAACTTAAAAGGGAAAAGTAACCTAAAAATTGTACTTCTAAATTGCATCTTAGATCTACTGTGTTAAACACATGGGATTTCTGTAATTCTCCTATGAAAAAAGGCTGAAAGCTGGGCTTGTTCATTCTGGAGTGGAGAATGCTGCAGGGAGGCCTCATTGATACCTTCTGCTACTTAAAGGCTGATAAACAGGAAGGAGAACAACTTCTACATAGTCTGATAGTGACAGGACAAGGGAGAACAGCTTTAAAATAGGAGAAATGTAGGCTAGTAAATTCTTTGCTTATACTGTGATGAGATGCTGGCACAGCTGCCAAGAGAAGCTGTGGGTGCCCCATCCTTAGAGGTGCTTAAGGCCAGGTTGGATGGGGACTAGGCAGCCTGAGCTGGTGGGAGCAGCCCTGCCCATGGCAGGAGTTGGGACTGGGTGGATTTAAGGTCCTTTCCAACCCAGACCATTTTATGATTCCATATACATAATCATTTTCATTCATTCCTAGTTTGTATTATTCCTATGGCACCAGGAGAGGGAGATGTTTAAAAATATAGAAATTTGCAATTATAAAACTAGAATGAGAGGCTTAGGGTGGTTAGTATTAGCAGAATGGCTTACTTTTGCTCAATAGCTGATCTTTGAGGTGTCCTTTTTTCCATTTCCTTTTCTTTTGTTATTATTTCTCATTTTAGTGAAAACATTCTGATGGCAGTGATAGAGACAGTTTACTTATTAACTGAAAATAAATATCATGTAATACACGTCTCTATTTGCAAACTGGTCTTGACTTCTGCTGATGCATTCACTGTGCATGGCACTTAAGCATTTGGAATAGTGCATTTCCAACTGATAAATTTTCTATGTACAATCTAATGTATATTTACAAGTTTTGTTATGCAGGCTTATTTTATGTAGCAGTATTTCCACTGTCTAAAGGGCGTGATCAAATCTTTGAAATAAAATAAGTTGCTAGTTAATAATTTACATTTGGCTGCACTATAGCTTAATAGATGGAAATTCACAGCAGGGGAAAATAATGAAAAGGTTTGATATGCGAGAGAATGCTTAGAAAAAGTTAGATGTTTCAGTTGCTGTGTTTGATTGTGCTTCAAGAAGGGCATTTTGATCTTTTTGGGTCTGGAGAACAGCCTTTTTGAATCTCATTAAGTTATTTAAAATAAAAGTTGCAATTTCAAGAGCAGTTCTATTGTTATGTGCTTTAACGTGTTCTCAGATGGCTGGGAATCAATAAGATTTGCAGTTCTGTAAGTAAGAGATACTTAAAGTAAGCACTGTTGGTATTTTATTTGTATTTCCCCGAAGAAATTAAAAACATCCATAATGAGTCCAGTTCATGCCCAGAATCATGTGGGAATGTGAAGAAACATCAGCGGTATGTCAGAGAGGAGGTGGGGAGAGTCAGGGGACTGAGAGAGACGTCATGAAATGCCAGTGCAGGACAACAATGAACATAAATCAGTGTTTAGTGACTGCAAGTAGCCATTGTTTGGTCAGACTGTTCACTAGTTTGAGTGAAAAAAAAAAAAAGACAAGAAAAAGTAAGAGTTAACATAAAGCATTTTGTTCTCTTCCCTCCCCCACCCCCTTTTTTTTTTCTTTGCTCTTTTCCCCTTCTCTCCTCCCTTTCTTCAGATACTCTGGAGCAACGTGTGGTCTGGCCTTTGTCTTTGTGTATCCATCACTCATCTACGTGATCTCCATGCATCGTGCTGGGCAGCTGACGTGGCCAGCGTTGATCATTCACATCTTTATAATCCTCCTTGGACTGGCTAATCTGATTGCACAATTTCTATTCTGAAAGTCCCTTTCTCCCTGTGGCTGTCACGAGTGATACTGTGACATTTGGCCACAGCCTTGAGCAACATTATCACACTTGATAATGCAATCATCTTGAGAAAAGCTGCACCTTTGAAATAAATTCAAAACACATCTTACAGGCACTTGAAAGAAAACCTGCTTTGTTCCACTAAAAACACAATTTTGAGATTAGTGAAATACTTCAAATATGATTGGGGTAGTTCGGTTGCTGTTGAATATACATCAAGGGTTAATGATGCTCAGATATTTTAATTTTTTAGAGCTAACTTCTCAAAACACTCAGCTTGCAGCCTTAAGCTGTAGAACTCCTCTTTCTTTTGAAAGAACTGTCCTTACCTTTAATCTGAACGTGTTTCTGTGGTGTTGTTCACTAGCTGTTTGAAATGTTCTTTTGTTGCAATTGTTTTACTGTTTTGTTTGGAAAATGAAGAAATCATTTTCTTCCCTTTTTTTCTTTCATTTTTTACTTTTTTAAAGTTAATTTATTGTCATTTGGGTCAAAATGCGCTCTTAATTTTGAATATGCTATTAAATTGTTTTGGCAACATTCTTCCTGTAAAAAATTCCAACTACAAGAAACAATAAACTCTTATCCCAGTGTTTTATTCAGAACCAATATGTACACAAGCTATTTGTGATCTTAAAATGAAAAACATCAGGGGGTTGAAAAAAAAATAAAACAAGACTCAATTAAAATCAGAATTCCAGGCTTGACCTCACTTCAACTCTTTTAACTAAGTGAAGTTGTCTTGTCAGGAGTTATTATATAGTTCTGTGGGTGCAAGATGCTTTACAGCCTTGATGTATCAGACCTGAGCAGAGACATTACAGGCAAAGCTAACATACTTTCACATTGTGCGTTAAAGGAAGTAATTTCTGTTTTAGCTGATTCTTAAAAGAAACTGGAAGAATATGGGAAAGGTGGCGGTGTTTCGTTGTTCTTGTTACTATTGATTTTGTTTTTAACTTCTTGTTTACCAACCGAGAGAGTGTGCATGTGTATGTATACAACTTCCTTTGCCTGAGGATCTGAGCCCTAGCCTAAAATATGTGTTTACAGCATTACCTAGATAATCTGCCATATTTCTCTAAGGAATAATTCTGTGAATTTTTTTTGTGTGGGTTTTTGTAGTGATGATGCAGTTCCATTTGTCTATTATGGACTTTTTAAACTTTGCAAAAGACACTGTCTTCCATAAGTGACCTTTGCCTTGTATGAAATACACATAATTATTTCAGATTCTCTTGGTTTTGTTTGTTGGAACTTTTTGTGCCTTTAAATCAAAATTGAAGTGTACACCCACCATCTGTTCTGTATGGAAAATATTTACACCATCCTGGTTATCTTCCTTGCGTATTCTTCTTGTCCAGTGCATGGTTTCCCTATTGCCTATGGCCTATCAGTCCCCCCTTTTCACTGCCTCACAGTGAGTACGTCTGATGCTGCTGACACCATTAGTGCTGGCCTACACATTTGCTCTGCAGGAACTGGGTCTGACCTCTTCCATAAAATTGCAGTTAAGCTTCTTACTTGAATGTCTATGCAGTCATCACTGTATGTTACTTGGTGGTGTGTTTCTTCAGTGTTCTCACTAGTCTATTTCACAAATTAAACCTTCTTTTTTTTTTCCTACCCAATAAACTGCCCTTCTGACTAATTTTGCACATTTACAGTTCCTCAACATTAATGATGCTAAACCTCCAAATTTACTTGGGATAGAAGAGAACTTGAACACCAAAATGAGAGTGAAAAAAAAAAAAGTAAAATCTCAAGCATTGTTGGCCTGATTCACACGAAGCTCAGCTACTTATATATTTTAGATACAGTGCTTCATCTCAGTACAAACCTGGATGACTGCAGCTATTCCAACTGGTTATATTCTTCCATGTTTTATTCAGATTTGAGATTCAGAACTCCATGAGTTAAATCTTTGCTGTTTAGGCTAGTAGTAAATGTTCCTTGATGTCACCAAAATTGATTTCCATTGTGATGTAGTAGGTCAGCAGAAATTCCCAAGTAAGACACAGTTCATGTTGATATGTCTTAATTGTATCTTCTGTTTGTCTCTTTTTTTCAAGTGAGCAAAATACAATCATCTAATTTGATTAAAATTTAGAGGGAAATTATCTGTATCTTCCTGAAAGCCTGCTTTAGATCTGGATTGCACAGAGGTTCTTGATGCACTTTAACACCTTAAATTTTAAGTTGATAAGAATTGAAGTGATAGGAAATAATTTTATTAGGCTATCTCAAGTGAAATGAATCACAAAATCGTGGGGGTTGGAAGGGACCTGCAGAGATCATTGAGTCCAACTCCCATGCCAAAGCAGGTTCCCTACAGCAGGTCGCACAAGCAGGTGTCCAGGCAGGTCTTGAACATCTCCAGAGAAGGAGACTCCACAACCTAAAACGCATTTTATTATGAAAAGTATATATATTTTTCATTTTATTACATGCAATCAGAATATTCACAGGCATCAGAATCAATTTGGGAGTAAGCAGAACAAAGTTTTGATTTTTTTTTCCTTTGGTAGTAACCAAGGTCGTAAGTTGAAAAGTAATTTTTTAAAATTTAAAGGCAAGTTTAGTTGCCTGAGAAGAAGCAGCAGATATAGATTGCAGTGTCTCTCTTCATGCAGGCACAGAAGGCAGCAGACTTCATCCTGCTTGCCTATGTGACCTGAAGTGATGGCCAGCTAATTCCAGTTCCTTATATTTTCTATTCCAGCAAATCATCGTGTGATTTAACAGAGCAGAAAAAAGTAGTGTATTAACTCAGTGGTGCATTGTGAAATGTTGTTTGCCATCTTTCCGTAGAAGAAGAATAAATTTTGATGGAAATACTCAATTCTATCTTTTTGTTTGAATTTGCTGAGAAGTGAAAGGTTTTCTTTCAGCTCTGGCAAGCACCAGGCTTAAGCTTTCTTCACAGCATTACTAGGCTATGTGCTTGGCAGCATCCTTCCTTCACTGCACTCTGAAAATCCAGCCCTCCGTATTAATGTGGTAACTCTGTGACACAACCTGAAGTTTTCATTGCATGAGGCTCCATTACACATGAGCATATGGCTGATATCATCAAACTCAAATCCGGATCTCAAGCAGTGTAAGAGATTAACCCAGCATGACCTTTAGGCACTGCCAAAGCCATCAGTAGCCAGGAAAACTCCCAGAAAGCTCCAGGAGCAGTTGTGGACGTGTCTGTGCAGCAGAGGATGGGTGATTACATGTGGTTTGAACACCTTGACCAAGGGATTAGTACTTCAGTGGAAGACTCACGTTAAACAGAAATGGTTTTATTTTCCAAACGCAAGGGCAGGTGACAGGACTTTAAATCTGCCTTCTGCCATGACGAGAGAAAAAATTACCTTCTATATATCCAAGCTTGTACAGGCCTTCTCTGTAATGGCCTAGCGTTATCTGTTCTGCTTGCTTAGTGTTGTCATGGTCCAGATTCTTCCTTTTCTAGCAGTCTTCAAAATCTCTCCTTTACTTACTAGCTTTCACTTTTGTCTCAGTTTTGCCAATCACAGCTGTGTCTACATCTGCAAATCCATTTTTCCTCTTATATCTGTATTAATACATGCCTAGATGCCAGTTAATATTAAATCCATTAGTTCAAATGATTTTTGCAGCAAAAATGAGCATTCAAGATTCAAATGTTGCATCATTTAGACAGGAATTTTGGGAAAGCATGTTATGTAACATTTTCTTTTTTCTTAAAAAATTTCAAATGTTCAGGCTTCACATAATGAAAAATATTCCACGGTAATGGCATTTGATTGCAATGCCAAAAGCCTTATTGGCTTTACGCTATGCCCTTTCATCTTCTGGATTGTTCCATTCCCTGCTTCTAGGTTTCTGCACAAGAGTTAGCTTTTAATTATGTGATCACATCACATTTTTCATAGAACATTGCCTTGAGAGTGCAAGGGTTGCAGAGATGGTAAGTTTTCTGTCATTGCTCAGGCTTGCTGTCTCCCAGCTTTGGGTACTGGAAATTGTTAACATGCAAGAGCGTGCTGCAGCCCCAAAGTTTGGAAACTCTTCTGTGACCTTCATTCACAAACACCCCTCAAACCTAGTATGGCACAGCAATGCTGAGAGGCAGTGGGAGTGTAACTGAACGAATGCTGGATCTGCTGCAGGAAGGAGAGACTCCTGGAGAGTTTATGGCCTTCTAATCTTAGAGATAGAGTCTGAATTCTCTAGTGTGCCAGGGATTCCTGTGTGCTTTCAGATTACTGCTATGATGGCCATGTCCTGCTGTAGCACAGGGAAGTGAGATATGGTAACCTCTGGAGAGCATTTTTATGCTTTTTAAGACATTTTACTTCCTGATAGGATGTAAGATGTTAGTGACACTAAAAGCCCCAAAGAGTTTGTTTTAGCTGATTGTACCTTACCTCACAGGGATTACGGTGTAAGTTTTTCCCTCTTAGTTGGTATTCTGTGAGGCTGTGCTACGATCAGCATATTTAATTTCTGCAGTTGAGAGTGCCATTAAGCTTTCCTTGGAAAGGAGCGGGACTCAGTTTGCCAGATCCTTTTGCCTCTCCCTCCTGTAATTTCAGATGGTGGAACCAGAACTACGTAACTGTTGTTTTGTGGTTTGTTTTTCCAAACACCGACAGATATGAGGGGAGCAGGGAGGGTCTTTTATTTTTTTTTGAACTCACCTACTGATGGCTTTTCCCATATATCTCGTTTTTGTGGATTACACAGTCTAGATTAAAAATGCAGCTTTATATAAAACGTTTTTCAATCCCTTCTTAGTATGTTTATGTTGCAGCTTGGCTAGAACTCACTGAATTATTTCCAATAGTCCAAAGACTGTTTAAAAATTGCTGTCCATGTGTTTCTTTTCATCATTGTTTGAATGGTCTTTTTTCAGTTCCATGGACCTTGTTCACTTCTGACATTTCATTAAACTGTTAGAGGAAGTTGAGATTAGTCAGATCATTTCAAATCAACACAGCAGAGTCATTCAGCTGCAGTATGAGGGGCGAAGAAATGCCTACACGTTGGACTTCCAGGCTAGATATTAAATGCCACACCAGACAGAGACATTTTCCCAGCTGTCCAGCTGGCTTCATGTCTTAGAGCAAAATGAGTCTGTATTACGAAATTGCTGTAAGGGACTCAAATTACAGTCCAGTTATAGGGACAGAGAGGAGGATGCTTTGCACTGAAACTTATTTTTTTCTCTCTGTTGAATATCTAGTTGCCTTCATACAAGGTTTGTGTTAGGGAGCCCAGATACCCGGTATCAAGTTAGCATAAGCAACTTCGGGGAGATATCCTCACCCTTCTGTGAAGAGCTCAGGCATTCTGGGCTGGTACAAGTTGGGTGGTAGAGCTTTGAGGATGATTCCTGCTGCTTCTTTGTGCTGGCATTGTGGATTTGGAGAAGGCTGTGATCATGTGGCATTACTTTTCCTAGTAGAGTGCAACACTCTTTACCAGCTTAAGACTTAACCTGTCTGCAGTCTTTCAGTTTGAGAGAGAATTCGTGTAACTGAATTCCTCCGGTGTTACGGAAATACAGGAATGTATGGGTGCAGACAGATGAACAAACGGGCAAAAGATCACATCCTGCCTTTGCTGAAGTTACCATGACCATTTACTCTTGCCTAGGAAACTGAAGTCTTCCTGTATCTTGATTTGTTGAGCCCTAGAAATTATGTATTTGATTTTCAGTGTTGTTTCAGGTTTAAATGTTATCTTCTCTGCCCTTGTTATGACAAGGGTATACAAAAGGAGTGAGCTTAGGGATAACCTCTGATCCAGGTAGCTGTAATTACTTCTCTGAAATATTATCTACGATATTGAAAATATAACAAAATTTGCTATTTTGAGTGGTTGATTTTTGTATTTTATTTTTATTTAAATATCTGAAGTCTGGCCTGAAACTATGTATTCCAGAAGAAGAGAGCAAGTGAAATAAAGACAACAGAAAGTAGTCTTTGAGTCTACTTGTGTACAGGATCACAGAATCACAGAATCACACAGAATCACAGAATCACCTGGGTTGGAAGGGACCCCAAGGATCATGTAGTTCCAACCCCCCTGCCTGGCAGGGCCACCAAACATACACATTCAGATCAGGTTGCCCAGGACCCCGTCCAACCTGGCCTTAAACACGTCCAAGGACGGGGCATCCACAACCTCCCTGGGCAGCCCGTTCCAGGGCCTAACCACTCTCCTAGTAAAGAACTTCCCCCTAACATCCAACCTAA